CCCCCCAAAAAAAAAAAAGTATTGCGTATTCTTCCATGTTGAAAGGCCTCCATAGACCTGCTGTAACCTGATCTCCTGGCTCAGTGTATATACTCCCAGTGCGTCATTCTTCAATTATGCTTTGACAGCACCTGAATTACTGTGGGCTGGATGCCCAGATGACTGAGGCAATGTGTATTGATCTATCCCTTTTCTTCTTCCCTCTCCTTGGCTTGGAAGGCCCTTCCATTCCCTTCGCTGGCTGGCTATTTTTAAGCATGCAAGTCATTCCTCAAATATTTAGTTTGATTCTTTTATGCCCTCTGGCCGGCATCAATTCTATTATCTTTGGAGCCATTAATCAGAATGCGCATGTGATTTGCACTCCACAAAGCTCAAGTTCTTAATTACGTACAGTTTCTCTGCATTGGTTCTTCATATTCACTGGCCTCAAATTCTCAGGCTTGGTCACCTTCGCATTCATTTTCTTAAAACACAGATGTTGACATTTATCCTATAACTGACCTTTCCATCTGCTATGCTTTTCCAAGTGGCTGGAGGCCTGTTAACCTTCCTCTCTATGAATTGTGGTGGGAGGCATTGCTCTACACCTGGCACACTGACTCCATTATGCAGAAGCAGCAGCCCATTTTCTCAGAGGCAAAGACACACTGACGACTACCCACAATGTCAGCAATGAAAAATCCAGATATAGCTGCACTTCCTGTCATTCATTGCACATAAGTAGCACAGATGATACTTTAATGTGTAACCCAGAAACCTCAGAGGACAAAAATGGAGACATTTGTCATTAATGCAGCGTTCGAAAGGATTTGTAAACTGTTAAACTGTCATTGACACAGAAAGACCCGAAGGCAAATAATTAATGATTCCGATGAATACAGTTAATGGACTGTAAATGCTACAAAGTTGTGTTGAATCGCCAAACATCTGACTGCTTTATATCAGAATATACGGCATATATTATTTTCTATACGGTTTTTAATGAGCTCGCTGAATGTTTTGATGAACACACTTTTAAAATGTAATACTGCAAAACATCCAAACTCACACTCAGAAGTTTCACTTTAAATCTGATTTCCAAGCTGTGAGCTTGTGGACTGCAATGTGCTGCACAGGTCTTTCTGTTGTTATGTCCCATGTAGACAGCACAACATTTCAAGCCTCTCTGCTTTACAGCAGCTCAGGATTTTGCACCCTGCCTATAGGCTTTTTGGTAAAGCTGATACCTCTGATGAAACATCTTCATTATACAGGGGACACTTTAAATCATTAGACTGGCACAGAGCCAATTCCTGTAAATGAGTTTTATATCATTTTATCCCCGGTGAATGCTTCAATACTGAACTACTCTTTAAGTAAAAAAATATAATAACGATTATTTATTTATTCTCCATTATCACTGAGATTGGACTGCATTTATTCAGTAAACGCTGAATTTATTTTTTTCTGGAAACAGAAAGTTATGACTTCACGTATAGCCGAACAAACTGAACCTTTCACGTTTTCAGCTTTGGGGTTCAGCTTAAATCGAGGATATGGGCGTGGATAATTTAATTCAGAAAGGTTTTGTGCTTCTTTTGTTAGTAGCCTCATTGATCTTGCTAAAGAAGGTTTCCATGTCCTCTCTCTCTCCCCAGTCAGGACGCGCATGACCTGTGGGTTCAGTATTGTTGACTCGGGCCTCGGTGTGGTGGAGGCTGGAAATCGCAGCATCTGCGCGGACGGCCATCCCACGATGAACGGAGCCCCGAGGATCAGTTACAGCACCAAGCAGCTGACCGAGCTGGAGAAGGAGTTTCACTTCAACAAGTACCTGACGCGGGCCAGGCGGGTGGAGGTCGCCGGCGCCCTGCAGCTTAGCGAGACCCAGGTGAAAGTTTGGTTTCAGAACAGACGCATGAAGGAGAAGAAATTACAGAGAGACGGGCTACTCTCCGACCCAAGGCCCGCGGCTCCGCACTCACACGCCGACACTTTGGACACCTGCCCCTTCCACGGACCGACCTAGCCAAAAAAAAAAAAAAAAAAAAATCAAAACAAACAAACAAACACCTGCCCCTGAACTCCTGAACTGCATCGTGCGTTACACGGCAAGTCTGCAAATGTTTTGATTGGCGTTTGCATCGTTTTCAATCAGGCTTCACCTTTATTTGCTTACAACGATGGATGCTTAACGCAAGAAGCGCAAAGGCAAGTTTCTTCATGCAAGAACGGGCCCAGACGATTTGTCATTCTCTCCGGCTTCAGACTGGTGCTCTGATTTGAATATTAAAATTCAACTCATCCCATTGCGCTCCTATCTACACAATGTAAACGAAGATACAAACTCATATTAATTGCCCATAGAAACTGTGGAAGTCCATTTGCGTATTTTCTTTTTGTGTTTTTTGTGTTTCTTTTTTTTGTTTTTGTTTTTTACTTTTTTTTTTGGACAATTTATTCGGCAAACTTGAACACATTTTAACTCGTGCTTCCCAGTTTCTATGTAAAATGTATTATTTCTATTTATTGAAGATCTATTTATGATTATTATTTATTCTGATATTTTTACAGCATTTATTCACATTATGCCATAGCTGCCGTCTCAGACAAATTAAAGTCCACAATTATGTGGAATTGTTTCTGTTTAAGCTGTTTGCTTCTGACGGCTCACATTTGAGGACAGGGGGAGATACACCTGTTGTAGGCAGAGCCCACGCGTTATGTTACCAAATATTTATCAAGCTAATTTAGCTTCGCTTTGAATCCTGCCTTCGTGTCGTGTGTTTTATCCACTCCCACTGTTTCCTTTATCCACGGAACGATTAAAATGCCATGATTGATGGAGAGATTTATTGACGGGCTCGTATTGGAGTATTGATCCGTGGTGATCCATCCATTTGAGGCACAAATATGTGAGCATTTGCATGCATGTGTAACTGCATGTTAATGGAATGTAGAAACGTCGCGATCGGGAGCTGTTGCGTCTTTTATTGCTTCTATATATGCATCAGAAAATGATAATTTAGCTGAAAGACTCATGCGGGAGAAGAGACAATAAAACGGTGCCTGTGCTGTTTTGCAGATCAACCAATAAACTGTGTGGCCCCAGCAGTTCGAGCAGCTAAATATTCCTTCCAGATTCACATCTCATCTCATATAAAGTAAATGATGGTAAACACGGCCCTTAAACACTGTTATGTTTCCGGTATCACACTGCGTTTCTATCATGTTAATGTCTACTTTAATATCAAGATATGGGCCATCAGGCACATTAATTTTGTGTAAGGGAATATTTTTGTTTAGCTTTCAATTAGCGTGTTTGCACTGGATATGAAGGTTACTGGATCCAAAACGGATATTAATCATAACAAAGGAATTAAACTTGAGTGTTGGAGATTAGAAATAAAGTGCTAGGATAAAAAAAAAAGATGAAGAAGAAGAGGAGGAGGAGGAGGAAGAAATTGGGTCGGTTTCAAACCTCTGACGAGCGTTCTCGTTTGAATTTGTATTTGTATCATGTAAGTAAAATGCTACTGGTAATACTCATTTAAAGTAATACAATTGCGCCTTTGTAGGGCACAAGAGTAGACATGGAGGCTGCAAGGCCAAGCTAATATATGCAGTTACACCAGAGTTCACCTCTCACCTCCTGACCTTTGCCTTGCCTCGGAACAACGATGACCCGGTCAGCGGCTCTGAGAGAGCAAGATGCACCATTAATTTGGGTGACCTCGAAGTCTGAGCTTTTCTCTTCCTTTCTTTCGTTTTCTCTTCTTCTTTTTTTCAACAAGCAACTCCGAATGCTTTTGTTCTGGTGTGGGGTGTGTGTGTCCACACAACAATATTTCATCGAGCTGAATAGAAGGGCGAGTAGGCCATATGATAATTGTTCATATTATAATTCCATACCAGGCCAGATAATGGATTTTTTTCTCCTACACCTAGAGGTAACCTAATTTTTGCCCCGTCTCTTATTTTAATAAGCCAAAAAAATATGCTACTGGCTCAGTTTATAAACCGGATGAAAGAGTCTTTTCACCCAATAAGTTTTTGGATATAAACTACAGACCTATTTTTAATAGCAAAGTTGAAATATTAGAGTTACTTGAGCATGCTCAACAGTTAATATGATTCCATGTCAGAGCCAGCATAAACAATATTTGGAACAACTATTCATTAGAAGTTTGCAGTTTATATATTTTATGCATATTTGCTTGAAGAATTACAAAAAAAACCCTACACACACCTATTTTTCTCCAACCCCCAAACAATATGTTTTTAATGTGCATCTCATTAGTGAAAGCCAGAAAAGAAAAGAAGTTTAAAGTTAAAGAAGAGGGGCCAACTTTACAAACATTTAAAAGTTTTCTTTTTCTTTTCTTTTCTCGGAATTGATATGAATGATTTTACATGCAAGCAGGGCCAAAATATGTTGAGCCCAATTTATCTAGAATTTGCATTTAAACAAAACACACACCATTAGGGCTGCCTTTCTCTAAACAAAATAGTACAAATTGGAATGTTTAACAAAACCATCAAATGTGTTTGTCTCGTTAATGCAAAGTGCGCGCACGTGAAGGTCACAGGGATAATGATGGGCACAGCGATGTTGGAATCATGTCAGTTTAAAGCCAGCAACTATAAAAATGTCCACTGTTATTACAGTAATGTGTTGTTTATGTTGACCTTTTTAGGAACTCTTATCATCTTATCATGTAGTGACAGGGCTCCATGTAGCAGGTTGTAATGTGCACAGCAGACCCTTGCAGCACATGTGCACTCTGACTCTTTTTTTTTTTTAATCCAAACTTACTTAATCACATGTTCTTCTGCATAATAGATACACCTAAAACACACAGCGGGCTCAGTAATAAGGAGAGGGGAAAGAAAAGAGGGAAAAACCTAATGTAAATTAGAAAGAAGAGGTAAATGTAGAAAAAAGAGCTGATTTATTTTGTTTGAACCATCACCTTCATTTCATTGTGTGGCAGCTTCAGTGTTTGCGTCTCAGCTGATGAAAGCAGAACTGCATTGTTTGTTCAGACCTGACATTTAGTTCGAAAGCATTTGAGCGTGACTGCTCTGATGAATTTGTACTCTCCTGTAATTCCTTCCTGAAGATGTACGGTTGGTTCGGAAGACTGACAGCTGTGCTGTGCTTAGACACACGTACAAACGTGGCAAGTGGGAAGAAAGTTAAAGCCAAAATTACTCAAATCCAGATATATTGCTGCCACAGGTAGCACCAGCATCATCATCATCATCTTGGAGCAAGCTTTCCTCACCTTCATTTTTTTCCTCTTTATATACAGTGGTTATTTCTCATGATGAAAATCAATCTAAAATCAGTTTTATTCTTCTCATTAATTCAGCAAGAAAGCTATTCATATTTAAAATAAGTATAATCATTTGTTTAATGAATAGTTCCACTTGTTTTGCTAAAGTATTCCTGAACAGAAAACACACAGCTGAGAATAAAGCAAATCCACTGATGTATTAGTGTATAATGAATGAGGCTATTGGCAGTCTCTCGTTTCTTCTCTTCTCTATTGTAAGCTGGCTGATGTGGGCAGCTGTTACAATCCTCCCGAGGAACACTGAGGCGTGAGCAATGTGTGCCTTACAGAATACCTTACACTACTTTTTTTAAATGAACATATATAAGTGGGTTCTTTCTGAGCTTGCACTAATTAATGCTAAGTTAACCTGAAATTAACTTAATGCATAATATGCATGTAATATTTTCACCAAGCTCGAGGGAATAAAATCAATTGATCACGTTAAGCTTTTTCTAACTTTATGTGAAGCACTTACAGAACAGATAGCTTGGTTGTTGTTTTAATTATAGGCCATTTGAATGCTCTCCTCCCTTTAGTTTTTTTTTCTGCTTGTCTGATTTTACTGTTTTTCTTTATTTGCAAAGACTTTCATGCACTATTAGTCTTTTTGATCGGCGTTATTCACATATTTGACTACCAAACAATTTGTACATCAAGAAAAGTAGAAATGAAGCGCACCTGTGTGTGCACGAGCGCGTGCCAATGCATGTTTGGATGTTCTGTGTACAATTACACAAATATGTGTTTGGTTTCCTAGGTGCTGCTAATAATGCGCTCAAAAAAGATACAAAGCACCTATTTGAATAATTGTTCACTCGCATGCGTACACACGCGCACATACAAATCCATACATTCTGACAGAGCGGCGCTGAACAACATGCACACCAGTCCAGTCCTTGCCTCTCCTCTCGTGCTCCACTCCAGGGAGCAGATGTTTGGGGACAGCTTACAGCCTCAGCGAATTTCTGTGTACAAAGCAAACAGCAGCACTCAGCACTTCTGGCTGCAATGGGAAATGTGCTCTTGAAGTGGGGGGAGGGGTGGCCTTTGAGTCACTGTAAGGTATCATGAGGATGGGTGGAGAGGGGCAAAAAGAGTGAGAAGGAGGGTACACGCAGAGGTGAAACTGTGTCAAGGTTACAAGTGGCTTGCATAGGAAAGTCCCCCCAATTTCCCGAGACATGTGCTGCTGTGTGTCGAAGCAGTGCAGGGCAGCATCCTGGCTGGTATACTTAGTACCCCTGTGTGACATCATCAGGAAAATCAAGCTACATATCTGATTGTGTCTACATGACCTCTCCAGTGCAGCTCTGTCTGCTCACTAGTTTGGATTGCCCTTTGAAAAGTTGCAGACAAGCATAAAATGGAGGGAAAAAGAGGGGAAACAATGTAGTAAGTCGCCGCAAATATTGCTGATATTGCATCTAAGACATCAGCTACAACATGGGACCAGTTCTGCTAATGATGCCACCGATATAATGCATTGATTTAAAGGTGCTGGTCCTGTGGCAGTATGCTACCCGTGCTCTCTTTTGTTTGCCTTCTATGGAAAAGTAGCATTTTATATTTATTTCAAAAGATCACTAAACGTAAGTTCTCGAGATCGCTCATGAAAATGACAGTATTATTTTGCACTTAAATAAATATTTTGTGCCCTTTTCATCCATTCCAAAATATTTACAGTGCAGCTTTACCGCATATGCTCGTCAATATGCTGCACACAATTAGCTCAAACACACACACACAAGCATACACTTTTACTTGTGCATGCGAGAAGACACATTTTGACCTCTCATCAGTGTATTATAATCCCTAAACAAACCATCATAAATGAGCCCTGCCATGCTTATTTGTCTGAGCGAAAGTAACCCCCCACCACACCCTCCTCTTCTGCCCTTGGGGTGAGGTTGCCATAGTGACAGATTCATAGACATATGGAGAGAGAGGAGAAGAGGAGCTTGGCTGAAGGGGTGGGGCTGAAGGGGTGAGGTGGAGAGAAGACAGAGGAGAAGGG